AGTGCTTTTTATACTCATGGGTTCTGACGTTTTTTTGGTAAAATGTTTGAACCAAATAAGTTTTTATTTCATTGTAGCTATTTTTTAACAAAATTTAAATTTTTCTTTTGTCAACACAAAATCACGAACTACTGAATTAAAACAACAGGCTAGTTCAATCAAACTAGTAATAATCAGCAATTTTTTCTAAATTTTTATATTGCTATATAGCTAAAGAATCTGTCAATGCAGAAACTTTTAATCTTAATGTCCATGAGTGGAAAATAAGAGAAATTTGGCGAGACCTTGCTAACAAGTCAATTCTCAAAATAGAGATAAGAAATTTTGAAATTCATGCAGTTCCAACGAAGTTCCGAATCTTCTGGAAAATAATATAAATCATACTTTCCAATTTTGTTTAATACAGTGTCAATATAAATATTTAGATTTAAGATTAATTCAATCATTTCAGGGGTGCTATTGCATCTGGTTGCGACACTATCTTTTAAATAATTGTGCACATAAGAATTAGGTCGGTTCATTTACACTTAGAAGAGGTTCTCTGCTGCATAACATGAGGCTTAAAAAAGTAATGTTCATTATTTAGGTAAGAGTTATCAAAATTAATTTATCAAAGAGTCCATAGGAATCATCCATGGTACCATCATTAAAAAGTCTATTACGGCCATTTACTGCTCCATTTCATTGACTTAGCAAATCACTTTAGTTCTCCGGTTTATCTTTGTTTTTTCTCCGGTTTATCTTTGTTTATCAATTTTAATCAGGTTCAGTTGCTCTACAACTCTTCTAATGGAAGTCCGATGAAAAGTCTTAACTGGCTAGATTTGTCTGATATGTCGCTTCATGAAACCTCGCAAACCCAATGGAGTGCACGCTTTGAGGTTGTGAAACTGTTGGGTAAGCGTGCTAGGGATGTCCTATCTTTACAAAAGCATCGTGACTTGATCTGACTGCTGATCTATCGAATGAAGAAAAATCTCTGGATAAATAAACTCAGTCATTTGAATTCATCATGAAGTTAGAATTTTGTAGAATAGATGGAACTTTTAAGAAATTCATCATTTTTTGTTGAAAGCTCTTTAAGCAATGTCAGTGTCAATCAAATCACACTTCAATCAAAAAAGATTTATTTATGTCAATCACACTTCAATCAAAAAAGATTTATTTATGAGATTATGAGTTTAAATTATGAGACTAAGTTTATAAAAATGAAAGACTCTTATTAAGGATCTCATCAGACTAAGATTTTCTAGGCCCAAAATAAAATAATTTATAAAGCATATCTGATTGCCACCTGTCAAAGAAGTTATAGTTTTAAATCAGAATTTGGGTCAAAAAGAACAGACCTTTTTCGAAAAAGTCAATTACAAGTTTCATTTACACAAAAAAGAACAGAAGAAGTTTGAGGGGAACTTATTTATTATCGCTCACGATACTCAAATTCAACAATTAACAAACAGGCTTCAGAAAAGTTAAAAAACAGTTGTTTTTTTCTATAACTCTTAGAATCTAATTGTTGGTTGAGTGAGGAAGTTGAATCATCGAGTCCTCGAGAAGAAAAGCAAACTCTCAAATCTGAACGATGTGAATTAAAAGAAACTTATAAGAAAAGTTTGTCATTTTGATACTCTGAGGTGCGCCACCTTTTTCGTTTAAAAAAAAATTTATCACTTTAGTAAAGCTATTCTATGGGATCAACCAGAAAGGTCTGCAGTCTCTATTTGAACCAATATGCTTTTTGTTGCAACTTTTTAACACGATTTCTGTTTTTGTCGCCAAAGGAGAGCGGTCTAGTTAAGACTGAGCTAAGATCTATCATTACCCAAGATAACTTACCAATTTTCAGTTATATATATTGAGCATGATCTTGCAAAAACTTTGAGCGAAGAAAAAATGATTGCAAATTTTGCTGAGAATAAAGTTTGGTGAGTAAATTTTGTACAAAACACAGCCTAGAATAGCTGTTTTACTAAAATATTTAATTTTCTTAGCGTTTGGATTGTTGTCAAAGTTTTTTGAATTATATGGATATAATGGACTCAAGTGAATATAAGAATATGAATTATATGAATATAAATGGGCTCTAGTGAAATTTTGACCCCAGCAATTTTTCCTCAAGTACTAAATTATTGAAACAAAGTTGGTTAACGTTCAGGGGCGACATTAGATTAATATTGGGTTTGCGTTGGAAATGGAAATGTTTTTCGACATTGAATAAAATGACATCGAGTGCCGTTGGGATTTCGATGTAAATCTAACGTGATTTTAATTTTTTTTTCTTTAAAAAAAAAAGTCTTGGTTGGTTTGATTTTTATATTTATATCTTTAAAGTTAAAATATTGAAACTCTTTTTTATAATCTTTTTTGTTTAAATATGGAAATTTTTAAACTAAGAAGATTATAAAAAAAAAACTTTTTATAGAGAGGATATTCTTAATAACATATCTAATCTAATACAAACTTATTACTTCGGCTAAGCTGACGTTGTTCTGACGTTGTTAAATCGATGTTGTTCTGACTTCATGCAATCGACAATAATACTAATTGCTACTTTATTCGTTATGATAAAGTAGAAATCAATTTTTTGGGGATTTATTTTTTTTTTAGAAAGATCTCGGTTTATATGTAATTGATTTTGAAAAAATTTCTTTCTAAAATCAATTAGATATAAACCGCTTGTTTGTTTTATATAAAACTTCTTTTGAAAATGTTAAATGAAGAACTAGATTTTTTTTTTTCTTTTTTTTTTTTTAATATTTTAGTTTACATTTGTTAGCTCGTTTTTACAATATAATGAGAGTAAATAAAAAATTAATACAAATTATAAAGTAAGCAAATACTACTAACATTTGAAAAACTAGGTATCTGAAAGAAGATCAGTAAGATCTTATCATCAGAACCTTATACTAGAGTAAACAAAATATTATATTATAAAGTAACTATAAGTACAACAAAATAAAAATAAAATATACATACATATATAACTTTGTAGTATATATAATAAAGTTTAATAAATATTTCCATAATATAAATATTATTGTCAAATTTTGATAATACAAAAGAGAAAAAGATTTTTCAGCTTAACTTTAAAAAGATGCAAAGAAGTAGGTAGATCAAAATTAAAATTTTGTTCCAAAGATGGGGTGCACAATAATCAATGCAAAATTGGTTAAAACTTATTTAATTCTTCATTAAACATTAAAAAAAAACTTTATTATCATCGTAAACATAAAAAATGTTTTAATATTTTTTATGTTAAATATAAGTCATTTATAAAAGTAAAAAAAATAATATGGTCCTATAATATAAACTTGAAATACCCCACAAATAGGTTATTTAAAGAAAAATTAAAAAAAATACCTAATAAATTGTGCACAATTTTTTAGGTGCTTTTTTTTTTCATAGGTCATTGTTTTCTCATTTGATTAGGATGACTAGAGCGCGAGTTCCTCCTATTCCTAAATCGTGATACTTTATTCCTCCAAATAAATTGTCTTGCATTCATTTTTTACTAGCAGTAAGCAACCCGTAATACAGGTTGTTAGTAAATAAAATTAAAAAAAAAAAAAAACTGCGTATAAAAAAGTCTAGAAACTACTTTAAAATAGAAAAGCCTAGAAAATGACGTAAATCGACTATTACTATTATTAAATTAGCGTCAGATTCTTACCCAATGACATCATCTACAATCTGATTTTATTATCACATCTCGATTTCCCAGGTCTACGTAACTGAACGGCTCTGTTGGTCACTTTTTGCGATCATTGTGCATCATAAACAATTATAACTTTTGAACGTTAAAAGGTTATTAATAACCTTTATATATATAACATAATATATTTATTATATATATATATATATATATATATATATATATATATATATATAACATAATATATAAAACATAATATATACATAATAACTTTATATATATAACATATTAGTTTTAATGTTTCAGATATGATAATACTTTCAAACATTGTGTTAAATCCAAACTTATATATGTTCATGCGTATGTCAAATTATTATTATTTTTCCGTATAAAATCCAGGTGGTTGTAATCTGGGAATAAAAATATCCTAAAAAATTAGGTTCCAAAATAACGAATGTGAGAGCGTTTAATTAACAAAAAAAATTTATTTAAAAAATATTTTTTAATATTTTGATAAGTTTAAATTCCATCGACAGGTTTAAATTATTATGTAATATATTACATAAAAATTTAAACCTGTCGATGGAATTTAAACTTATCAAAATATTAAAAAATATTTTTTAAATAAATTTTTTTGTTAATTAAACGCCCTCACATTCGTTATTTTGGAACCTAATTTTTTAGGGTATTTTTATTTCCAGATTACAACCACCTGGATTTTATACGGAAAAATAATAATAATTTGACATACGCATGAACATTTATAAGTTTGGATTTAACACAATGTTTGAAAGTATTATCATTTCTGAAACATTAAAACTATTATCATTTAGTACAACTAGTATTTTAAATATTACGCATACGTAACAGTTATAATAAAATTCAAGGTCCTAAAAAATGTCTTTGACTCTTTTTGTTTAATTTTTTTTTTACTAACTCAATACCCTAGAATAAAAAACGTTTATGTTTTTTTACAAAAGTAAAATGCTGGCAATTAACTAAAGAGCGTTTTTTAAAAAGGATAATTATTAAGGAACAATTATACAAACTATATTAATAGCTTGAACCTTTCACCATTATTTGCATAATTATTCCTTTTAAGGAATAGTTGTGCAAATTGTTTAAAAGCAGATCTCTGATCAAACACATGTAGAACTTCATCGCCCTTTTAACTAAAACTTTCTTTTGGAAATCTTAAAAAAATAAGCCAATTTAGATGCCTTTAAACGTTTGGGAATTAATATTTTTGAAGAATTATTAAGAAATACAAAAAAAAAATTCATAAAATGTTTTGCAAAAAGTTTCTGCTATTCATTTATTTATTATTGCGTTTTTCTCGAAATAAAAAGCTTCTGAAATAAACTATTGCATTACTTTCATGTTTCGCTTTGTTTGAAATTACTTACCACTGGCGTAAATCACTTTATATGTAATTAGTTGCTTCTTACGTAAATCACTTTAAATGACTGAGTTTAATACTTAATTGTGATTGCATAACCATTATTAAAACGCTATTTAACAAATTTTTTTCTGAAAATCATTCAACGCTCGTTCATTATTTTTCGCGTCTAACTAAGGTGTAAACTAAAAAGAAAGTAAACGTAAGTTGGTTTTTATTATTAATACTAATATTATTATTATTATTGTTATTATTATTATTATTATTATTGTTATTATTATTATTATTGTTATTGTTGTTGTTATTATTGTTATTATTATTAATATTATTACTAAGTTACACGGAACAATACATGAACCGTAAGTTCATCATTAACTCGCAAAGCTAGCAGCATTAAAGCAGCTACGGAAAATGGTGTGCTAAGGTAACTGTTTTAGATGCCGTTTAAAAAAGTTTTAAACGGCATCTAAAACTTTTTAACTAAGGTGGTATTTACTGCATTGTCTGGAAAAGCATTCCATGTGTTTGCTACGCGGTCGTTAAAGGGATCCTTAACTGCCGAGACAAGTTGTGTTCATATTAAAGAAAATGTTTAAAAAAAACATTTGGGCTAAATTTTTTTGATTAAAACTTTATAATGAATGCACACCATTAAATTATAATTCACGTTCTCGCCGTCTCCATTTTTTTTGGTTCTCGGAGTCTGTATAATGTTAGCCGCAATCTGCAGACTTGATAACTTATTCAATGTGTGTTAATTCGTAACAGTTTCGGTATATGACGTCATCGTATAAATTTTTTCTCTTTAGATGTCGTATTATTATTTTTGCCTAAATCACCAAATCATGTCAATTGTATAACTTTTTACTAAATCCGAAAAAAGTTTATGATGCAATTGAAAATTAAATTTATAAAAATAAAATTTTAATATATAACGAATATTTACAGTAAAACATACTGGTTTAAACTAAATATAAACTAGATACTAAAAAAATAATTTTACTAAAACGTATAAGTTAATTTAAAGTATAAAATGAAAAAAAAAATGAGTGACTTGAATAAAACATATAAACTGAACAAAGCAGAAAATAAATATAAAACGACTTATTTTACTAATAACCCTTCAAATTAAAATTAAAGTTAAAACAAATATTTGTACTAAAATATACAAGAAATAGTTATAATATAAATATAAAAATAAAGAATCGTATTAAATTGTTCGCTACCAGCCGAACAAAAATCTTTTAACAAAAATCTTTTTGTAGCAACCGCACATTTTTTTTGAAAGACGTTTGAATAGCATTACATTGACAATTAATTAAAATTCAATAATAATAAAGTTTTTAACACGCTTCATTAAACAATATGAAATGCAAAGAGCTTAAAACTATCGCTTTTGTAAGTAATAACTAAAACATTAGGTCCAAAACAAACCTCATTTAATGAATAAAAATATTTTTTTTTTCAAAATACTTTCGTAATTACTTAACTAAATACTTAACACTTCTACAAGTTAATTTTACAGTGTTAACGCTGTTTTATTTTATAATTAAATTTAAAGTTTTTTTTTATGAAGGATTATTCAAGACTTTTTAATTTTGTGATATTTTTTTTATAATTACACAATTATAGCTCTTATTTTTTCTTGATTATGTAGAGAATTAATAAAACCTTCGAAACAAAAAAATTCTATGTGTCTAGAATGGAAATTTATGTACTAAACAAGATAAATTGTAAAGCGTACTCGAAAACAGCTACCAGTGGCTTGCGGTAGCGAAAGAGTTAAACCATAACTAAATGTAAATTAAACATAAACTATATATAAAACGAAAAATTGCATCATACTACCTTTATTTTTTCTCTGCCTGACAACTCTAATAATCACAACATTTGTATAATTGTGTCATGATTTTGGCTGGCTTCTACAACATAAATAAATAATAAAAATAAAACAATAATAAAACAAGTAAAAAAAAATTATAAATATATATATATATATATATATACAGGCGCGGATCCAGCATTTTTTGATGTTTGAGATAACTAACTTCCAGACATGGTACAAACCCCAAAAATTTATATGTTTATACTTATGTCAAATAAAGATCATTTGCAAAAAATTGCGATGATTGGAGTCTGGGAACAAAAAAGCCCCAAAATTTTGGCCACACAAACCCCAAACAAGAGAGCAACAAGTTGATAAAATATTTTTTGTACAATTCTCAAGTAAATTTATATTCATCGATAAATTCTAAATTTCATACAATAATCTCTTAGTGTTCAAAAATTATAATTGCACAAAGCTTTAACCCCCCTCAATTTGAGGGGGTTACAAATTTTGTAAGGTCATGTTTTTTGAACACTAAGAGATTATTGTATGAAATTTAGAATTTATCGATTAATATAGATTTACTTAAGAATTGTACAAAAAATATTTTATCAACTTGTTGCTCTCTTGTTTGGGGTTTGTGTGGCCAAAATTTTGGGGCTTTTTTGTTCCCAGACTCCAATCGTCGCAATTTTTTGCAAATCATCTTTATTTGACATAAGTATAAACATATAAATTTTTGGAGTTTGTTCCATGTCTGGAAGTTAGTTATCTCAAACATCAAAAAATGCTGGATCCGCGCCTGATATATATATATATATATATATATATATATATATATATATATATATATATATATATATATATACATATATATATATATATATATATATATATATATATATATATATACATATATATATATATATATATATATATATATATATATATACATATATATATATACATATATATATATATATATATATATATATATATATATATATATATATATATATATATATATATATATATATATATATATATATATATACATATATATATATATATATATATATATATATATATATATATATATATATATATATATATATATATATATATATATATATATATATATATATATATATATATATATATATATAAACTATTTTCACTTCTTTTTTTATGTATAAAAAGATATTTACATTTTTTTTATATAACTTCTTGATTTAATTTTTATAAATTAATAAATTTTATTATAAATTTATTGTGTAAACTTGAAACCAATTTAGTTCTGTCATAAAATGCATTTAATGCATTTTATCTTTTAACACAGATTGCTCCTAAGTGACCTATCTAAAGAAAAAGTGCCAAAGAAAAACTTGAATGAGGAGTAGAAACTAACAAATAAAAAATAGGAAATTAAAATAAATTTTAATATAAAAACTATATAGCACAAAAGAAATTTGATTAAAAATATATTTAGGCGCAAAAAAAATTTCTATCTAGAAAATTTTTTAACGATCAACAATTTATTACAAAAACTATTGATTGACTGTATCATTTTTACTTTTAAAAAATAAATGAGATTTAACAACGAAATAATTTATTACAATAACTATGATTTATCGTTATAATCGGCATCACGTCAAAGAAATAGTAATGAAAAGAGCGTTGTTTAACGAGACGAGAGCGTCACATTTTTAATTAAAAAAGGAAATAGTTTTAAAATAATTTTTACAAATGACATCTAATATTCATTTTGTGCATATTTTTAAAAAAATGTTACTTAAACGTAAAACGGAGTTTTTAGGAAAACGGAGTTTTTAGGAAAACGGAGTCTTTAGGAAAACGGAGTTTTTAGGAAAACGGAGGTTTTTTTTGCTACTTTTTTGAATTAATCTAGTTTATTTTAACTTTTTTTTTTTTTAATTATATATTAAAATTATTAAATAATTTTTTTTTTAACTATCAATATAAAAAGATTAAAGGACACTAATTTAAGTCGGCTCTTTACATCCTTTAAAATAAATTGAAAGATCTTCCAACAGAAATAGACAAAACTTCTTTTTTACTTTTATAAAGTCAATTAATACTTTATAAAAGGAAAAAAAAAAAATTATGATTTTATTAACCTTTTATAAAGCCATAAAATTTTATGCGATAAATCGACTTTTTAAAAATAATATGAATTTTAAAGATTTATATCAAATAAAAAATTGGTTACCTCTGCAGTAACATAATTCAAATCCATTTACTTTAGATTTACTGCGGACTAAATTAAACAAGAAAAAACTATTATGTAAAAAATTTTTTGACTCTATTACGTTTTAAATTAATTTGATATATCTTTATGATGAAAAAATATAAATGCAGAAGTTTAATTTTTATCATAAGCAAATCAAAAATTTATCAAAAACGAGTGTTTTACAACCCTGAAATTACCCCTCTAGCAAAGAAAAACTTTAAAAATGTTAAAGAATCTTGTTTAAATTGGAACTAATATTAAATTTTTTTTTTTCAATTTTTAAAATATATTTAAAAAGGTAAAGCTAAAAAATTAAAAAAAAAATGTAAGTAAAATCCTATTTCTGTCCCCACTCATATTTTACCCCCTTCTCCCTAGCCTCGTCGTAACATCGCAAATTTTTAGTATAAGAAATGCGTGAGTCGTCAAAAAATCTCTGCTAAAGTATTGTATAAGTAGACCGCATTGAAGCAGAATAAGGGGGGGGGGGGAGAAAGGGTTTAACAAAAAAAAGGTATTTTTACTAAAATTATGACCTATAAAGATTTTTGCTTATTTAAATTTTTTTTTTTTTTTTGCTATTAAAATTGTTCCACCCTACTCTTCATGATTCGTTCTCCAAGTACCCTGATATTATCGCGGTCAAATATTATCTTAATTTTTTTTTTATTTTAGATTTTGACTGTATGAATTGACTGTGCATTTATATTAAAAGTGTAATAAAAAGTAAATAAATTAAAAAAAGAAAAGTTATGCGGCTTGAAAGTGTTTCAACCAAACTTATTCTCATCTTCGGTTTAATAATATTTGAGACAGTGAATGCAGAGGTAAAAAATATATTAACAAATATGCCAATGTCTTGCTATAATAGCGTGTTTGATGGACTGATCTGGTTGATTCCTACGTTTAAAAAATTTCCAAAGAACTACTTGGACAGTAATCATAACGGTAATGTTTATATGAGTGAAGGCATGACTTCTAATAATTTCCAGAGATGGGACATTACTTACGTAGGACAACTTGCTTATACAATCCGGAATATAGCAACAAACCGTTGCTTAGATAGTAATTGGAACGGCAACGTGTATACTCTTGCGTGTAATGGTGGCAATTTTCAGAAATGGATAAAATCTAGTTGGCCATCCATTACAAATCGGATTTTGTTTCAAAATAAAGCCACATCACGAGTTTTAGAATTAAATGATTGTCGAGTTAGCACAAGCTCAACGCGAACTCAGGATACTGGCCAGTTGTGGAGTTTACAGAATCCTATTTAAACCTAAATCCAATTTTCAAAGACCTTAAATAATTATAATTTTGTATGTATTGGTGGAGGAGTGAAGAGTTTTCTTTGTGATTTATTTTCAGGATATATTTATTGTTTTTTTGTTGTTATTTTGATCTTGATATATAAAAATTTCAAAAATATTTTTTTAATCTTTTTACATTGTTACTGAACTTGATCCTGTTAGTAGTGTTAGAGTGCTCCTTCGAGCGTGTTTGACACAGAACATTTGGCAGCCATTGCAACCAAGGTAGTGGCGAGAAAGCGTCGGAGTGGGAACGGATGTAAAAAAGACTCTACTAAACGTGTTATACACGTTTTGGACGTCTCTTGAATGTCTTTGACATCTTTTGAACGTTCGAAAGACTTCTTTTTTAGGTCTGGTACCCACTGGGGTTGCAGTACATCTAGTTGTAAGAAAACGTGAGCAAAAGTGTACGAAAATATCCAGTATACGTAAACTTCAAATTAAGTTAGGCACTTCAGCCACGTGACTTTTTCCGTGTGACAAGTTCAGAATATAAATATTAGCGAATTTTTCGGCAACTTTTTCGGGAATTATTTTAATTCTATCTAATTTTAAACCCGATTGCCTGTTATATTTTACTGGCAAAAATAAAATAAAAATGTTGATCTGTGAAGTTTTTTCCTTAAAGTTTCTTAAAAAAGAAGCAAAAAGATTTTTCAAGTCGTTTTTTCTATAGTTTATTTTATTTACACTTTTTGACAAGTACATATACTGTTATAAATTGCTTTTTTTTAGTTTTTCTTACATCAAAAAATATTATATAACTTATTAAATTACTATATTTAATACTTTTTTTAATACTAATTTGTTTTTTATATCAGGACTAAACAATTTAAAAAAAGCACTTTTTTATTATTTTTTCGATATTTTTCTTGACACCATTATAGTACTCCGCTTAATCTACAAAGCTAGTTATTTAGGATATACTGACCAATATCTGGGTTAAAAATTAACATCCGAAATCTAAACAAAAACTTTGAAAATTTAAAAATTTTATTGGACGAAATAAAACATTATTTATCTAAGAGAAACGTGGTGTAAATGCGATGAATAAAGTACAGTCATCAACCACGTGATAGTTAATGGAGCCGAGGCGTTAATGAAACGGATTGTGAGTCATTGTGCATTGAACTTTATAATAAAACCACAAAAAATATAATTGTTAATACTATTTATAGAAAACCATCTGGTAGCTTGAAAAAATTTAAAACTCACTTAAACACATTTTTAACATATTATCATTAGGAAGTTATAGACGACCAAGAAAGTTGAAGAACTATGTAATGTGAACTCCAATCACAATTTGTCGGCATACATTAGTTAGGAGGCATAACTAACAGTATGTATTGCACCCTCTATTGTGCAGTCCTGTCCGCTTACTCTATGCTATCTTTCTAACTCGACTACTATCTTTCACTCTAACATATCTTCGTTTTTCTCAAACTCACCTTACCCTCGGTCCGTAGAGCAGGTATGGCACCCGTTCGGGAACTCAACTAATCTTTGCGGACCCTGGTAAAGTGACCTCTATATGGCAATTAGCCGGACGAGGTTAAACCACAATACCATTTTCAATAAAGTAAATAAAGAACGGAAGCATATTTACATTGTCGGCGATATCAATTTGGATTTGTTAAAACAAGCTTCAAATAAAATTAAGCATTTTATCGATAAACTTCTTTAACATAATGTTATTCCAAGAATAAATAAGCCAACCAGAATAACGAAAAGCTCTTCTACATTACTTGCTAATATAATCACTCACAATTTTTATAACAGCTATATTTTCACAGGTATAATCAAAACAAACTTATCAGATCATTTTCCTACTTTTTTAATAACTAATAATATAACAATTAATAATATTTCTTCTAAATTTATAATATACAGGCGGCAGATCAATAAATACTCCTTACAAAATTTTCAAAATATAACGTTGATTGGGATCTTATAATGCAATCAGTAGAGGTAAAGAATGCCTATAAACTATTTCTTAAATTAATTTTTTGTGAGCAGTATGAAAAAGCTTTTCGTGAGAAAAAAATTGTTATAAATACTAAGTCATATCAAGCTCCATTAAAAAAATTTAAACATAAAGGTTTATTAAAATCTTCAAAGAGAAAAAAAAAGTTGTATGAAAAATTCATTAAAAAAAAAAAACGTATAAAAGTGAAAAAAACTACAAACTTTATAAAAATATGTTTGAAAACACTAAACAATAATCAAAAAAATTTTACTATTCAAAATTGTTAAAAAAATTAACAGAAATGCTAAAAAGACGTCGAGCGTAATTAAAAAAATTATTGGCAGAAAAAATAATGGAATAAGTATTCAACCAAAGAAATTCCACTCATCCGTTTTTTCATGTTTCCACTCGTCCGTTTTTTCATGGGAACGGGATAGGAAAGGTAAAAACAATCACGTGAGCATGCGTAGTTTTCCTTTGGACATATTAAAACTTATACTACGCATGCCCACGTGATTATTTTTCCCGTCCCTTTCCCGTTCCCGTGAAAAAACGGATTTTTTTTTTTTTTTTTTTTTTTTTCTCTGTTTACATAACATAAGAGTTTTACAGATTCTACTACATAATATAAAATTTAACAAAATAAGTAAAACAGATAGGGACTCAAAGAAGATGAGGATGACAGAACGTCATCGCAATCTTTTCGTAGAACCCCTTTAACAAGATTTAATTAAAATATCGTAATATGACATACAAAATAAAAATGTCAATAAAATATCATAACAAATTGCGTAATCCGCTAATAAAAATTGCAAGCAACAAACAAAAGTAGAAACAAAACAAAAAATTATTTAAGAGAATTTACCCAAAGCATTATTAACAAAAAATGTTTCACCGGTTTTAAAGATTTCTTTTTTTGTTAAAAACTTGAATGAACTTAACAAACTCACCGTACCTTTAAACCCTTTCTGAAAAATATTCCATACTTTTGGACCTCTATATAAAATGCTGCATTCTGAATATTTATTTATTATCCTTGGCAGTTTATATGTGTTCCACATATTTGCTCTAAAATTATAGTTATCATTTTTATTTAACTCAAACTTATTATTAAAGCTTATAGGAGAGATATTGTGATTGTAACGATGAAAATTAATTGCTGTTAGATATTTATTTCAAATACATTCATAATTTTCATATCTTTCAACAAGGGATTAGCGTGTTCCCGCCTATTTTTAAATTAAATGATTCTACAGGCATTTTTCTGAAAACTATAAAGTTTCTTAAGCTTTGCTGTTTGAGTACTTGCCCATGAAATGTTTGCATAGCTGATGAGGCTGTGAATTAGCCCAAAGTAGATTAATTTAAGACTATTTGTATTGATGTACGAGCGAACTCGATACATTAAACCTATGATTTTGGTAATTTTTGACTGGATATATATTATATGAGGAAGCCAGGATAATTTTTCATCAACAACGGTTCCTAAGAATCTTATATTGGATTGCTTTTTAATTAATTTATCATTTATAAATAGGTTCGGCAACTTGAGAGCAAGATTTTCTTCTTGTGTTTTTTTATGAAAAAGTATATAGCTTGTTTTCTCGGTATTAAGTGAGTGTTTGTTAGCCTTAAACCAGTTATTTAACTGGTTTAAGTGAATGAGTGGAAACTCGCCTTTGGTAGATGGTAAAATAATATATGACAAGTCAATTGTAGCTGAAAATCTAAACAGCTTCTTTCTTAATATTGGTCTAAACTTATCTAAGAAAACTCCATCAAAATCGTCATTGTATGACTCTTATTTAAAAACATATGATAAGGTCATGGACGAATCTAAACTAGGTTACAATCTGCTCTAGATAATCTTTAAATCAACACAAGTGTAGTTTTTGATAATATTAGCATAAATATTGTTAAATCAGTTTTTTATATTATAGAAACCTCTTTACATCACATTTTTAATCTTTCTCTTCAATCTAGTACAGTTCCAGAAAAATTAAAAATTGCACAAGTCTTGCCTATTTTTAAGTCTGGCGATGACACGGATTCAAATTACAGACCAACATCAATTTACCAAGCTTTCTAAGTTACTCGAACGTGTAATGTATAATAGGCTAAACAGCTACTTAACAGTAAATAACATTTTGTACAACAAGCAATTTGACTTTAAATAAAATCATTCAACTGATCACGCTTTGACCGAGTTAGTAACTCATGTAACTAATGCCTTAAATGTTGACCGTTTTACATTAGGAGTATTTATTGATCTGTCTAAAGCCTTTGGCACTGTCAACTATGTCATTCTTTCAAAAAAACTTGAACATTATGGAATAAAAAACAATAATTTACTATGGTTTAAAAAAATACTTATCAAATAGACAGCAATACATTCAATATGGAAATGTTAAAAGTCCTAAGATTGTGTCCCTCAAGATTCAATCTAAGGACCGTTACTGTTTTCTCTTTATATAAATGATCTATCTCTTCCTCAAACCTATTAAATTTCATTTTGTTTGTGGATGACTCTAATCTGTTTTATTCTCATAGGGATATTAAAACCCTCTTTAAAGTAGTTTATGAAGAAGTAAACAAAATAAACGAATTGTTTATTTGTAATAAACTTTTACTTAATGTTAACAAAACTAAGTTTATTCTAGTTCACAAAACCAACGAAAACAGGAAACCTTCCTTTAAAATTACCTAATCTTAAAATTAATGATATAAATATTACTAGACAAACAACCGTAAACTTCTTAGATGTTATTTTAGATGAAAATTTATTATGGTGGAAACAAATAAGCACTCTTGAAAGAAAACTTTCAATAAACATTGCAATGAGGTATAAAGCAAAACCATTTTTGGAAATAAGATCTTTAAAAAGTTTAAATTTTTTCCTTTATACATAGCTATTTAATTTACGGCAATACCGTATGGGCAAGCACCAGCTACGCTAAGTTAAAGAAAATTTATACTAAACAAAAACATACATGTAGAATTGTATTTGGAGCAAAAAAACTGTGTCTTGTGAGCCACTTCTACGTAAACTCAATGCATTAAATGTGTTTAAAATCAACATGTTTCTCGTCATACAGTTCATGTATCAAATAAAGCATGGACTGTCTCCAACGATATTCTGTCCTTATTTT